TCATGTTAGACATGCTGCTGCCCCAGCAGCCAGCAGCATAAAAAATTATACTGTCCACCAATGACTGATAAAACGTGCAGCATTTCACTGCAGACGTCAAGGGACCTGAGCCTCCTGAGGAAAAAGAGCCGGCTCTGCCCCTTCAGTTTACTGTCCAGGTGCACACCTAGGTATATGAGTGTGCACCACCTCAATGTCCTACCCTCGAATGTTGACTGGCTGAAGGGTGGGCCTAGACTTCCAAAAGTCAATGACCATCTCCTTGGTTTTGGAGGTGCTCAGAAGGAGGTAGTTTTGTCACTCCATTCACTGAAGGCCAAATGCACTTGAAAAATCAAAGAACATAATCCTCATGTAACCACCTGGCTCATCCAAATAAGAATGGCCCAGTGGAGCATGTAAAGGATGGCATCATCCACTCCAATATGTTCTTTGTAGGTGAACTGTAGGAGGTCTAGTGCATATTCAACCTGTGGCCTCAGAAGGTGGAGAAGCAGCCGCTCCAGGGTCTTCATGATGTGTAATGTGAGGGCCACCGGTCTGTAGTCATTTATCCCAGCCAGTCGTCCTACTTTAGGTACCGGAACAAGACATAATGTGTTCCACAGGACCGAGACCCTCCCTGTTTGTAGACTTAAGTTAAAGATCCTCTGGAGAGGCTCAGCCAGCTGGGCTGCACAGTCCTTTAACAGCCTCGGACAAACACCATCTGGGCCTGTTGCTTTTCCAGGATGTAGTCTCTTGAGCTCCGCCCTCACCTCCTCTGCTGTAAAGGACAGGAGACTTAACCCCAGTGTGGAGGGAGTTGCAGCTGCAGTATCAGGTTGTGGAGGAGATGCCGTAGGAGAAGCTGAAGCTGAAGCAGTGGGATAGAGAACAGGTGAAGCTGTGTCAAACCTGTTGTAGAGCAGGTTGAACTCATTGGCCTTGTCCACATCAACTGATGTTGCCTGGCTGTTCTTCTCTTTATAGCAAGTGATGGTCCTCATCCCCTTCCACACCTCTCTGGTGTTATTGTGCTGCAGCTTCCTCTCTCAGCTTCTACTCTTCTCCTTTTGTAGTCCTCCTTCACCTGCTTTAATCTCCTCTTCAGCTCTTGTTGCACACACCTGAGCTTCTCCCTGTCTCCATTCTTGAAGGCCTCCTTTTTCTGGTTGAGGAGGGTCTTGATGTTACTGGTGATCCAGGGTTTGTGGTTTGGAAAGCATTGTACAGTCCTTGCTGGTATTACAGTGTCCATATAGAAGTGAATGTAGTCTGTGGTACATTCAATCATTCTATCAAGGTCAGGGTCCTTGCTTTTATCATTTTCCTGTGACTCCAACAGTACATTCCAAACTGTGCACTGAAAACAGTCCTTTAGAGACTCACTGGCCTCCGGGGTCCAGTTCCTGAATGAGCGGGTCATTGCAGCCTGCCTCAGTACACAGGGTTTGTAGGAAGGCTGAAGAAAAAACAGATTATGATCTGATCTGCCAAGTGCTGGTAGAGCTGAAGCAGTGTTAGCCTCCTTGACATTTGCATATAACAGATCAAGTGTCTTATTTTCCCTAGTGGGACAGTCAACATACTGAGTGACATGGTTAAAATCCCCCGTTTTGCAATGAATGCATGCCACTACAGTCTCTGCTTGTGGTTGAATGTAAACAACAATGGTGCCGATGTGTGAGAACTCCCTCGGTACATATAACGCTCTAAGATAGATTTTTGTCCTTCACTGTGATATGACCGGAGTTGCATCTATTGTTCACAAGCAGAACCAGTCCTGCACCTTTATTCTTTCCACTTGCTCTGGCGTCTCTGTCCACTCGTGCTGCATTGAAGCTGGGTAAATCCACACAACAGTTGGGAGTGTTGTCGTTTAACCAGGTCTCTGTGAGACACATGAGACTACACTCACGATGTGCTCGCTGGTTCTTCACAAGTGCCTCCAGTTCATCACACTTGTTAGCCAGGGAGGTGACATTTTCCATGAGAATCGATGGTAAAAAAGGATTATATCTCCATCTCCTTGCTTTTAGCTTAGCCCCGGCTTTTTCAGCTCAGCCGGGATGGGATGTTTAACTCCATATCTGGTAAACTTTAAAGCCAGGAGTTCTTCCTTCATGTACATTATTTTCTCCATTGTCAAACGAAACAACAACATAGAATAAAGATGTCAATCGACAAAAATACACTAATATATTGCAACAAAAAAAAAAGAGCTACGACGACCTGCTGCCACTTGCCAGTGCATCATTCAAATCGAATTTATACTTGTAGCAAAGCAAAGAACAATCATCAGTATGTTGCTGTGTGAGGTATAATGAACACTGCATCATGTCACTCACCACTCCATCAGCTCCTGACTCATTCCATCAGAGAGGAAAGAAGTGTGTCCACTACACTGTTTTAGCATCTCTCTCAGTACAACCGTCAGTATCAACATTATGACAAATACATGTGGTGAAAGGAGATGTAATAGATGTGTTCTAATATTCAGGACTGCATGAAAAATAAAAGCAGTATCGACAAGAACTGAACCAAAAAAATATCCAAAGTTCCTGGTTACTTACATTGTAAGGCCTATAAACATATAGTATTTTTATAAGTATGTTGTTTTAAGAAACTTACTTTTAAACTGAATATAAACAAACATAGTCACAACATATAATCAAGTAAATGTTCATGACACATGTACATATATTTTTAATATATATAAATATATATAACACACACACACACACATATATATATATATATATATATATATTTATAGCTTTAAAACTTTACACTAACACACAGAATAATGACGTTAAAAAATATGTGATGTTATGGGCCTACATAAATAAATAAGAAGATTACGAATAAGATAAATAAAAAGTAGCAATAAGAACCATCATTCAATAGAAAACAGCTGGACTTACACAGACTAAGGTAAAACAATAGAAATAAAGTACTGATAGTGATGATCCAGAACAATGCTGAACTATTGTGATGCATGAAAAACCTTAGACATAACTTAAGAATAATAAGTGAATTATTCTATCAGAGGCTTGATGATGGGAGCAGACAGATGCCAGACCGTGTAATGCTTTGATACAGGAACAAAGCTCTGGTGCTCAGTGCAGCGAGGTCAGCTCAGAGGAGTGTGGCTCCTCCTCTCAGTGCCAGTCAGCAGCTGCAGCTACACATCCACTCGCCTGGTGTCATGACAAAGCAAGCGCCAGCTGAGCTTGCAGATTTTCTGTAATACTTTACACACCAGCGCGTATCCTACTGTTTTCATGCGTCTGCAGTGACTCAGAGAGAGGAACTGACGCATGAACAGTACCCTCAGAGCCCACCTTGTCATTTAAATGCCAGCCATTCAATCAGCTGAGCGACAGCAAAGCAGCTCAGCCACTACCAAGACACAGAGAAGAGGAAAAGCCCAAACACCAGACCCCCCCCCCACACACACACACACACACACACACACACACACACACACACACACACACACACACACACACACCGCTCCCCCCTTCACCACCACCCCTCTCCTTTTTTTCAAACACTGGCAGAGATAGATAAAAAAAAAAAAAAACTAATCTTCAAATTCCACATTCCCTGGCCTTTTTATGAAGTAGGGATTTGGCATCAGACCAAATGGGATGTAAATTCCCTGTTTTGGAGAGGTGAAGAAGAACAGTTTGAAAGTCAAAGATGGAGGGAAAAAACAGCAGAACAAACACGTTAAAACAAATTACCTGTGATCTAAATTAATTAATTGAAAACAAAAGATTTCAGCATTTTCTCATCTAAGTGTTATTGATTATCTCATGAGGAGTCAGATTATTATGTACTGCTGAGCTGCTGGGGAGCCTGAAGAATCTGTATTGATTGTGAATAATTAAGGACATGACAAGAGTTTTTTCAGAGCACAGAAAAAAAAGCAGAGATGCCTGGATCTATTTCATGGGCTGACGGCATGTTCACAAATTATCACAACAAAACAGGCATTATCACAGAGTGTTCTGCGCTCAGGATTTATCAAATCACTGGAAGTTCAAGTTTCTACATAAAGCAAGTGAAAGTGCCTTTTATTTAGCCTGCAGGGAGGGAATACATGGGGAAATGAATAAATGAAATGAATCAAACACAGTTTTGGTCTGGGGACAGCCAGCTGTAGAGTAACTGAAACACAGCTCAGGCAAAATTTTCAGCACAAAAGGATGTGATATAAAACAGCTGCCATCTTGTGATTGGATGAAGAAAAGGGGCTCAGGAGGCCCCATTCTCTCTATAGGCGTCCTTATCACTGCCTGCAGGACCGATGCCATTAACCTGTGCCTCACTGGCTAACCGTGTTTAGATTAGCTTCTGATTGTACAGTGTCTCTCTCTCTCTCTCTCTCTCTCTCTCTCTCTCTCTCTCTCTCTCTCACACACACACACACACACACACATATAGAAGGATAATAGCAATGACTGGCAGAGCCAAGCAAGCCAGCAAAGTCGAACTGCCTCAGAGCCCATGATACCAGGTGTAATAGCAGAAACAATCCTCAGACTAGAGAGATAGAAAGCCATGTCTCCATGGTCATGATGTTGGTCTTAACATTCCTATAATGGAACATGACAAATTAATTGGACAGGTGAAATCAGAGCGGAAACAATGACAAAATCAAATATGCTTTTTTTTCCTGCTGGACAAGAGCAGCTCTCCGAAAATTAAGCGAACACTCCATTTATTTTTGATAATTTATTTGGATTAATATTGGTGGATGATATTTCCCTCAATTCTTCACTTTGTTTAACTAGCTTTGTTCACACAATTCTGCATTACTGGTCATATGTCTGAACCCGGGAGCAGCAGTGGGCTGTGAGACAATTTTCACATAATACAATAAAGAATAATTGAAAATAGTCAGAAAAAAAGAAATGAAATGTAAGAAATTAGGTAAATTTGAGTGATTGTTTCACAGTTGGAGTCATCAGGATGAATAAGAGTGTGAGAGAATTTAAAGGTGTGTGTACCTTCACTGCAGAAGCGGCCCTTGTACTCCGTTTTGGAGCAGTCACAGATCGGCTGTCCATCCACCACTGAGCATGTACCACCATTCTCACATGGGTTCACAGTGCACCACCCTTCTGATTCCAGGGGCACCTTAAGGCTTCCCAGAAACAGGGGTTGTGAGATGCCGTATTTGAGGTCTGTAATTGTGCCCCTGAAGGGCTGCATGTTTCGCACTGTCGGCAGTGTGAGCACACCACTGCGGATATCCTGAGGCACTCCACCCAGGAACAGGTCACTGACTATTTTCATGAACTGACGCTGAGGCCGCACCTCGTCAGCTGTGGCCTGGCCATCCAGCACCAGCATTGTGCGCAGGTTATACCTGCTCAGAGTGGCAAAGTGCCAGCTGCCGTCATCCACCCGTCTGTCAGACACCACTGTGGTCTCAGCACAGTCAATGCTGAAATGCAGGTGCAGTCGGCCCTCCACCACCGACAGCTGCATAAAGTCACAGTAACCTCCATCATCAAAATAAAGCATCAGAGCCTCTGAGGCCTCCGTCTTGAACTGGAAACTGAGGTCACCGCGGGTGCTGGCGTCCCAGCGGAGGTAGCGTGCCCACTGACCTGGTGTGCCTAAAAATTCCAGTCCCATACATGTGCTGAGGAACACTTGCAGCCTGATAGAAAAACTGACAAGATCCATAGCTGCAAAGAAGTTATTAATCCAAAAACAAGGGAACTCACTCAGACTGAAATCTTATGGTGGTTAGACTGAATTTCAGGGATCCACAGTTTTATCAACAATATGTGCAGATATATATATCTATATGTATATATAGATATATATATATATATATTTAAGGGAAAAGGGCAGTAACAAGAGAACAGTCGTTGTGGTTAACAGTCTTAAGGTCAATCACATCAGTAAATTGTCCAATGTCTGCAGAGTGGTGGTTCTTTTCCTCCGCAGGGTAAATGAAAGAAGCAACAGGAGGTGGTGATGTTGATTTTGCTTTTTTACTCTTCAAAACAGATAGTGTCAAAACTCATGGTGCAAGGTCTGATGTAATGGACCTCTCCGTCTATTAAGGCGAGTGGAAGTTCCTTCTTCATGTTGTCCACTGGGAAATGGAGCTGACAAGGGATGCACCGGCCTCTCTCATTTCCATCCCTGTCAGAGAAAGAGAGGCACAATGTTACAATGGCTCCCTCAGAATTGACTTTAGTAATAATTAAACACACACCCCATAATACTTTAAACCCCATGATAGCAGCACGATTTCTGAGGATGAAAAAGAAATATCACTACTCTTGATATAGTTACCTGTGTTTTTTGTACTGTAGGCCTCCTCAATGGTAGAAAGTACTAAGGTACTGAGCTTAAGTACAAGTACCTCATAATTGTACTGAAGTATTTTACTTTTATGCTGCCTCACACTTGTAGTCTACAACATTAACACCTAAAGTGATTGTGACTTTACATCAAAAACACTGACTTTCTAAAATGCACAATGAACATTAAACAAAGAGGACAACCTTAACAGCTCGAGATTTATTATCTTGTTCAGACGTGGCACATATATAATTATGTTTCTATTCCAACTCATATATAAGCTGCCATAATGTGTTGCTTCCTGCTGAAGTCTGGTGTTGGACACTGGCACAACTTTTAAAATTTACCTCAATGATCAAAATTACAGATAAACCTTTGTGAAGTGTCTGATCCATTAATTAACAATTTGTGGCAGCACTAATATTATACTATACCACTATACTTTATTTTATTTCCCAACAGCAAGGCCCCCGTCTGCTGAAAACCATGTATCTCCAAGATGACAAATAGTTCTGCTTTAAGATTTGTGACAATGTATTTTTCAGTTTATTTAAGATGTAGATGAATCTGTTAGATATGTGAAACTCTGCACACTGCCAAGAACAAACCTGGTTGGGAAATGATGAGTCTTGTATTTATTCAGCTCACATAAGCAAAGCATTAAAATACTGTTGTTATAACACATATTGAGCATACTTAAAAAAAAAGAACTGTCTACAGTTAACATGTACTGTACTTTAGCAGTCATCACTGCTAATTAAAAATGCCCTGCATTTTCCTCTCCTCCACAAAGGTTGTCTGCAGGTATCGGTCATCTGCTGGTAAATTAGTTATTAATGAATTATTCTCATGACTATCAGTCAGCCAGGTGGACTGCCTTTATCTGATGACCAGCCTAGAGAGACACCTTTCTCCTGAAGCCCGCTGAATACTAAGACACACACAAAAACGCACGTATCTTCTGATGCAATATGAATGTTGCACTTTTTGTTTTTATTAATATACCTCCACGTTAAAAAAATATTGATAAATCTTCTTACATTTGTAACTTTAATCCAAATATTAAAGGAAATCTTATTAATGATTCTGGAAAGTCGCTAAAGTTTCACTGTGAACATCAGTAAATCTTTGTAAAGTAAAAGTTTGGCCAACCCAAATTACATGAAATAAATTCAACCCCTGCAGCAAACAGACAATAATGATTGTTTCTTCAAATGTTAATACAGATGTTTGTTTGTTTTTTTACATTTACAAAAATAGTGGAATGTGCAGAGTTTGGGCACCCTACTAAGTCAGTACTTAACCCTGTGGCAGATGTTACAGCCTGCAAACACTTTGCATGCAGCACAGCACATTTAAAATCTATCCAAGAATTTATATGGTGTTCAAAGACTGTGAGGTTCAAGTATGACATATAACAAAAAGCATGCGTTCTCAGTCCTCCTCCTGTTGCACTCATGTTTTCTTTGTGTGTGCTAATCAGCTTTTTGCCTCTCATTTGTTTTTGACCTCTGCTCTGAACTTAGAGCTGATAGCCTCTGTTACTTCTTGCTATTTAACAGTTTTTGTTCTACTCTACAGTTTTATGCATCTGTCCCCAGAAGTTGCTTTGCATATTTCTGATGTTGACTTTGCAGGTCAAAATTAAGGTCTCCTTCTGGTGACTTCCATGTAGACCCTGTTCGTGCAACACTGCACAGTGGAGTGATGCTCCACCTCCCCTGTGAGCTTAACTATTAAGGTGAAGGTTGTTGAGATAAAACAAACAACAGTGGTCTCCTGTGTGAAAGTCCATCTGCCCCAACCTCCTCTACATATTACCTCTCCTAACTTCCTCGTGTGTAGGTCATAATTACTACAGTCACTAGAGCTCCCTAACAATGAATCAGTAATATGGGTGGTAATGTGCTGCTGGTTCAGATGACCCATAAGCTCATTCTTTACAGGACAGTTTTGAATATCATCACCTTTTAAGTCGATATGACAAATACGTTAGCTAAAAGTTGCTCATTTAAATATCCATTAGTTACAGACCAACATTATCATTCACTCCAAGTGGACCAGCTGGAAAATTGAAGTCCAATATTAACTCTCTTTTAACTCTCTGTTTGGTCTCCACCAGCTCCTGAGGGAAATATATTTGTAACCAGCTAGTCGCTACCTGTGTCTGTCTGCTGCACTGCTGCTGGGTAGCATATATTCACTGAAAACAGCTGCGTGCTGTGACTGAACACAAAGTTGTCAGAGTGAAAATAGTGAACTAAACACAGTGAAGCTGTGGGACAGCTAAACACTGATCTGAAAGTCATTATAAAACTCTGTAAAGCCATGGGGAGCTGCAGATTCTGATAATTCACTGTAGGTTCATCACTACATGCAATGACTTTCAGAAAGTCGCATATTGTTTGATACATTACAGCTGCTTTAACAATGATCTTTTGTATGTGATGCAGTTAGTCATTTCTATAAAACGATATCTAGAAGTGTATATAAAACTATTAATGTTTAATCCGCTGTACCAGATGATACAGCTGACTACATCAATCACAGCTTATTTTCATTTTTCCTCTAAATCAACAGGCCACGTGTTTTCACCTGTTTTTATGCACAATTTAAATTTGTACATAAAAAACTTGATTTTATCATAAACATATCAGTTATATCTGTTTTAAGCTCCAGGGATCAGGTGAGGCCTGTATCATCAATCAAGGCATTCAGTATGTGTAGTTGCTCCGGGCTGGTTTTACCTGCTTTATTAGGGTGGGCTGGTGCATATAACAGGCAACTTGAGTGGTAGGTCACCCAGAGGTTAGAGCAGCAGACTAGCAGCCAAAGGGTATATGTACAGTACGAACACACTATGAACACACTGTGGACCTGCTAAATAAAAGACATTTGGTGATGTTGGCGAGAAGAAATGTTTGGAAGAGAATAAAACCACAAATAAAAGTAGAAATAAAATAAATGAAAATAGGGTATTAAAAGGAAAACAGTCCAATCATAGAATAAAATGCATATTCGCTATAATTTCATTGTTTTCTTTTTAACTGTCTGTTGTTTTTATTATTTTAATTGTGTTTTTAATCTTCTGTAAAGTGTCCTTGAGTGCTGTGAAAGGCGCTGCCAAATAAAGTGTATTATTATCATTATTATTATTATTATTAAAATACCAATGAAACAGGTAAACTAAAAAGGTAAGTCTTGAGTTTGCTTTTAAAAATATCAACACCTTCTTCTGGCCTCAGGTCTTCTGTTTCACAGACGAGGAACACAGTAATAAGAAGACGCCCCACTGTGGGTTTTCGTTCTGACTTTGGGTTTAATTAAAAGGCCACTACCACAAGACCTGGCCAGTGGCCAGTGGCCTCTACCATGCCTCTACATTGGCATCTACCACTGATAGAGGCCAGTGCAGACACTTTAAAACTGGTGTAATGTGGACTCTCTTTCTGGTCTTAGTCAACATGCGTTCAGCTGAGTTTTGGAGCAGTTGTAGTTGAGATATTTTTTTCTTCAGGAGACCAGAAAGCAGAGCATTATAATAGTTGATCCTGCAAGTAATAATAGGTGTAGTAGTGTTGTTGTCTGATTTCCTCATTTCTCCAGGGAGGTGTTGGATTGATAGTAATCTTTTTCAGTTTTAATGGAGCCACTGTGTCCAGGGTTGACTTTAGTTTAGTGATAAAACTATCTACAATAAAATCACATGAGGAAGGTAAAATGTATGCAGGAGTATTGCAAAAAGGTTCCTTACACTTTGTTCTGGAATATACTGTTGTATGAAACCAGTGACAGTAAAAAAGACAGAATTTATCTGGAAGGTCTACATCCAAAACTGAGGTGATATTAGTAGACAAACCTTGGGTTATTATAAGATCTAAAATGTGGCCTCTCTTATGAGTGGGATAGGAAACATGTTGAATGTAATTCATACAATTAAGCAGATTTAAAAATTCTGAAGCAAACAGGTGTGATTGATTATCCACATCCACGTTAAAATCACCAGAAATAATAATGCTGTTGTACTTGGTGGATAATTGAAAGTAATTCCGAAAAATCTGAGATAAAAGATGTACATCATTTGGGTGGTCTGTAAACTGTCATACACAGTATAGAAGGAGTGCTAAAAATAAAAGAGAGATATTAAAAAAAATGTATAATGATCAAATAAATGTAATGTCTGTAAAACCAAGTATGAAAAATTTAAGTTTGGTTTGAGGCATCAACAAGGGCAGCTGGTCCATCTGTGTTTGCCCATGTCTCAGTTAAAAACCTGCAGTCAATATTATTATCTAAAATCAGGTCATTAATGAGAAATGTCTTGTTTAAAAGAGATCAGACATTTAAAACTCCATATTCAAGGCCACTGGCAAAGTCTTCTTGAGGGGTGAATTGGCAGATGGTGGTTTGTGTGAGTAAATGGATGTTATTTCTGGCGCCAATGACAACAGGAATTGTTGAAGGGGGTCCGGTAGAGCATGTGTTACTGTGAAAAGTGGAACTAAAGCCCCAGTGACATATTAAAAACAGAGGGCAGAGAAGTCATTGGAGGCCAGCAGGAATAATAAATGGCCGGTGGGTGGTCCTGAGTTGTTGTGGGATGGACAGTGGTCAGTTAGTGGTGGGAGGCTGCAGAAACTGCATGGAGAATTATTGCTGAAAGTGCACATGTGCCATGGAAGTGATGGACTGACTGACTGCAGCCATGTGTTCAAAGAGAGAATCTGATTGAACCGACCACTACCTCTGCCCAGCGAGGTGATGACAGATGTGTCCAATGGTGAAGTGGATGGAGAATGGTGAGCGGAAACAAGGGCTGGAGCTCCTCATGGTGCTGG